ATATATATATATATATATATATTGAAAAGTCAATCCGCAGCTTGAAAGCTCTCACCACATTTAGTCAGGAGCGGTGAGAAAATACTGGTTTCAGCTGCAGCTATTTGAAAGAGTTATCGACACCGCTATGCCAGACAGAGCCTATTCATAGTAGTAAGAAATAATAAATGATTTCTCAAAGATTACCAGCTTGAACTACACACTTTACCGACATTAAAATGAGTGGCAACTTGGAATGTATTTATTTTGCAGGGACTCACTGAAAATGAAATATTGTATCAATTATAGATATAATAAGTTCATTTTTATTTACTCTCAATAAATTATTATTATTATTATAAGTAAAATTAATGCCATATTATTTCATTATTTTAATTATATTATAGGGGATTTTACATACATCACATGCAATATTTATAAATTTGCATTTATAACAATAGAAATTTCATTTAACATTTCTAACTTAAACTTATACATGAAAACGTCTAATATTTGTACATATTTATTATCATATTTTTTATTTAATTATTTATTTGGTTCACTTGATAGTCTTAAAGACCAAGTTCTTTAAGTTTTATCAGTGACTTAGTTCTTCTATCATAAATTCCATTTTATTTTTGTGACTAGATTAATCGCTTCCTTACAATATTAACTCATTGAGACGATTTCATTAAATTCAGAGTGTTCTTCACCTGGTGGCCATAACTCTCTAGCAGGGAGTAATCAACATAATTTGTTAACTTTACTTAAGCCAATTACAAGGGATTTAAATACCATAATGCATATAATATAGAATGATACAATCTGTGTTCATGAACAACAAAAGCTAGAACATGCACTTATAGAAATATAGTGTATTAGTTCACAAATTTACCAGTCACAAAAAATACAAGTACTTCTTGATGCAGGCAAAACTCTAACTTAATGGCAAAGTTTCACATAAACAATTTTTGTTGTGTGTTTTGTACATGATATATTATTTATTGATTATCTTCTCATAAATTTTAAAATTATATATTTCAAGATATAAAAATATTTCTTCAAAATTTTAATTAAAATAAAATAATTTTTATAATTACTTTTATAAAGTTGTTACTTATTTTAAAACAATAAAAAATAATTTTATTATAAATATCTCTCCCCTCCCAACTCACCTCACATTTTCCCCATTTTCTTTTGACAGGAGCTACATAGAGAGGGAAAAAATTTGCGTACGTCAAGGGGTACGCAGAGATGTGTACATAATAGGGTACACAGGCGTTATATGGGGGTTACAAACGTGTTATAACTTCCTTGTAACTTTCGTGTAACTCAACTGTAACCCACGCTTTTATTTTATCCATTGAGATTATAAGGTTACAGCGAGGTTACACGGGAGGTTACACGGGAGTTACACGGGAGGTACAACAGGTTATAACCCCCTTGTAATTCCCGTATAAACCCCGTGTACCCTATTATGTACACATCTCTGCGTACCTTTTGACGTACCCAATTTTTTTCTCATAGAGAGAAACACAGACAAGTGAGAAAAAGTGAGTTTTAAGGGTCGTAGAGCCGATTTTATCTATCAAGCCAATTGGAAAAAGTTCTTGGCTTAATCAATACACTTTCTTATTTTACTTATTTATTTTTATTTTGTGAAATTTTTTGGATTTAATTTGAAATTTTTTTTTGCAAAAATAATATATCCTAATATCCGAGCATTTTTTTATAGTGTAACTTTTACCATATTTAAGTTAGATAATCTGCACATATTGATGCAAATATATTTGAGTTTCATATGATATCGTAGATTTGCAGTATTTCTTGTATTTAGTCATGATTATAAAAATGTGAAATTTTTTGGATTTAATTTGAAATTTTTTTTGCAAAAAAAATATATTCTAATATTCGAGCATTTTTTTTATCGCGTAAACTTTTACAATATTAATGTTAGATAATCTGCACATATTGATGCAAACATATTTTAGTTTCATATGATATTGTAGATTTGCAGTATTTCTTGTATTTAGTCATGCTTATAAAAATTTAAAAATTGATAAAAATAATTATAACATATTAATAGAATCATATTAATACCAAAAATATTATTTATTATTATACTTTGTGATCCATGTAAGTTGGACTATATATGTTAATATATCCTATCAATTTTCCCATTTAATTGTATTTATAAGATTTTATATATTGCAAAGGTCTAATACAAATAATCTATATTCATCAAAATGTTGATTTTCATTATTGATGTGTCATAAAAGAATTGTGTATGAAAATATTGTTTGATTGTTAAGTTATTTATCAAATTTATGGGCATGAGTTTGTTAAGAGGTATGAGGGCTCAAGTAAAATATGTATCTATGAGGAGACGAGGGATAATTAAAATGTTTACTCATAGGGAAGTTTAACGGCCTAAATAAATGAATTATGCTATACATAGAGAGCCATAAAGGACTATAAATAATTGAATTGTACAGTTTTTTTTTTTTTTTTTTGTAAACATGAACACAGAAAAATTTCAGAATTTTCAAATAGAAATGCATAGAAAGAGGGAAGAGGAAAGAAATTTACATGCAAGTATAAAATCACATAAAATTTATCCAATTAAACAAATAGCTCCGATTGTATTTTGATGAAAGTCTAAGCATGTAAATACAGAATCTATATATATTTATTTATTTATTTATTTATATATAATTTTAAAAAAAATGATATTTGACAGAGGCCTAAATATCAATTTCTCATGTGCTTTTTGGCTCCATGATGAGAGCGTGCGCTATAATTCCAGTATATATAATTGAATTTTTTTGCCTTACCCTGGCTCAATAGTTACGACATTTGATGTAAGTCCCTCAGGTAGGGGATTCGATCTCTGCATAGAATCGAATTGCACACATGTCTGAAAAGGAGGTCCGCCCATCGATCAGCCGATCAATCTTTTATATATATATATATAATTGAATCCCTTCGTTGGGTAGTGTGATGTGCAGCCACCATGTCATTTAGAATCAAGATAATTCACTCTTTTAGCTCAAGCTAAGCATGAATATGTGCATTTAATTAGTCCGAGCTCAAACTCAAACTTAAGTTTAAAAATTTGAGAAAAAAATAATATTAAGACAAAACTAATTTTATAATAAAATAATAAATAAAATAAATCATTAAAATATAAATAAATAATAAATAATTACTTGATATAAAATATAATATTATATTTAAAAATAATTTCAATAATTTAAAATTTAAATATTTGATTCTAATATATCTCAAACATATTACATATTATTTTTTAAATGGCCAAACTCACACCTCAACGTATCGAGGCTAGCTTGAGCTTGACTTGTTATCTCATCAAGCTTAGCTCACAAGCCACTTAATAACCCAAGCTTGAGCTAGCTCATGAATATTTACACCCCCATTAAAGGGTGCATAAAGTGCATCTTAGAAAAATTATTCCATCAAGACACTAAGTGCAAAATTTACATACAGAGTCCAGTGGGCATGTCACATGGCTTGTGGGCTCCACCTCTCTAAAATACCTACCCAATCAAAGTATTACATGAGGCCCACTTACCACATGACAGTGCCCATTGAAATCCGAAAGCAAATTTGCATCCAGTGTCCTTATAGAATAATCTCTACATCTTATCTTATCACAGTGGATAAGAAAATTTGCGGACATTTGAATTCACTATTTCTCGACTTTTACAACCAAAATCTCATATAAAATCACCTAATGACTTTTAAAACAACTGAATACTTTTCGACTTGGGGTATATATATAAAATCAAGTGGCAGATCTTGGGGTGAAAAAACTAGAGACTCGTTAAATTTATGTTCAGAAGCATAAACAGACCTTCAAATCCGTGGCCTCACCACAAGGTTCAATAACCTTAAAATGAAACTCAGTTCCTACTAAAAGTGATGAAAGAATCTAGTCTTAAAAATAGCACTACATGTGCTAGGGTATATTGGCTATCACAACTGATACTTACCCCAATGAAACCGATGAAAATAAACTCTCAAAAGATCTTCTAAAAAGAACATATATATCAATCATAAACTTGTGTTAGGCAAGCGAAAGAAATTAACTTCTCATAAAGCTAATAGAGAATGTATTAAGAAACTTTAAAAGGTTATTACTAGATAAACCAAGTAATCAAATCTATACACAGCTGCATCAAATAAAAGCTTTCTCCACTGAAAAATATTGGAGTTAGTTATTAAGGAAATCTCCCAAAAAGATATTTGAAAGAACTTTCTGAGTGGAGATATAAGTTTATCTACAGAGAAATACAACAGCAACAGGAATAACAACAAAGCCTTAATCCTACAACGCAGCGTCGGCTACATGAATCTTTTTACTCCATTGCTTCCTATTTAGTCTCATATTTTCATTAAGTTCTAATAAATTAAGATCATTTTTTAATACAATAAGCCCAAGTCTGCCTAGGTCTATCTCTACCTTTCTTAACATAAATCGAATCTAAAACATCTACTCTCCTGATCGGATCATCAGATGGTCGACGTTTAATGTGACCAAACCATCTGAGACAACTCTCTCTAATTTTGTTTTTCACTAGAACTACACCAACCACGCTATAAGGGAGATATTCATTTCTCATTGTCTCTAACTGTAAAGCCACTCATCCACCTATTCATTCTCATCTCGGCAACACTTAGCTTAATACTATGCTTCTCTTTTAAAGGCTAGGATTCAACACCATAGAGCATTGCAGGTCTCACCACCATCTTATAAAATTTTCCCATCTTATAAAATTTTCCTTCTATCTTATAAATTTTTCTTTAAGTCTAAGCAGGACTTTTCTATCACACAATAGTCCTCCACTTCAACCAACTTTCAACCAACTAACTTAAATTCTACTATTAACATCCCCATATATATCACCATCGCTTTGAAGAGCACATCCGGGATATCTAAATCGTTCACACCTTTTAATAATTTGATTACCCAAAGTTACACTTCTGTCATTACAGCTACTACTACTAAAATTACATTCCATGTATTCAATTTTAGTTCTACTCAAATGAAGGCCTTTAGACTCCAATGTAGACCTCCATAATTCAAGTTTTTCCTGGGTTTTTTTCTCTCGTCTTATCCACGGGAAGAATATCGTCAAAAAAAACATACACCAAGGTACATCCTCCTATAAATGTCCATAAGACCATCCATAAAGCAAAAAGATATGGGCTTAAGTTGATCCCTAATGTAATCCAACAGAAATAGGAAAATATTTGGTCAATTCTCATTCAATTCGAACACAAGTAACAACTCTAGTATACATATCTTTAATGACTTGAATACAAGTCATATTAACACTTTTCTTCTCAAGAACTCTCCAAAGTATATCCCTTGAAACCTTATCGTAAACTTTTTTTCTAAGTGAATAAAAATCAAATGTAGATCCTCCTAGATCCAAATGTAGATCCTCCTTATTATCTCTGAACTTATCCATCAAACCTCTCAATAAATGTATAGCTTCCATAGTAGACCTGCCCGACATAAATCCAATTTAATTATGAGAAGTATTTGTAATACGTCTTAAACTATGTTCAATTACCCTCTCCCATAATTTTAAAGTATGACACATCAACTTAATTCCTCTGTAATTTACAGACTCTTGTGCATCCCCTTTATTCTTAAAAATAGGGACCAAAATACTCTTCCTCCACTCCCCAGGCATCTTTTTAGTTTTTAAAATAATATTAAAGAGTTTATTAGGCCAAGTAACCCTCCAATCTCCAAAATATTTCTACACTTCAATCGGGATATCATCATGTTCTACAAACTTTCTCCCATTAATTTTCTTTAAAGCCTCCTCAACTTTTTTACTAATGCGACGGTAAAAATGAAACATTTTATTATTATTAATGAGATTAAGATCACTAAGGTCGATCGTATTTTCAGAAACTTCATTAAAAAGTTTATCAAAATAGCTCATCCATCAATGTTGAATATCTTTTTCTAAGAAAATCACTTTTTTGATTTTCATCTTTAATACACTTTACTTAAATTAAATCTTTACTTTTCTTTTCTTTTTTTTTTGTTTGACAAGTTTAAACATACATTTTCCACCCACCTTGGTATCTAAACTATTATAAAGATCACTAAAAACAGAGTTTTTAGCGTCACCGATTGTTCTTTTAGACTTTCTGCTAATCATTTGATATTTTTCCCAATTATCTAAGCTTTTACATTTAAACCAAATTTTATAACATTAATCTTAAATTTTATCTTTTTTTGCACATTATTATTTCACCACCAACCATTTTTTATTTATAGAAATTTTTTCTTTTGATTCTCCAAGTACATTTCTTTGTCACTTGTTTAATAGTAGTTGTTACATTATCTCACATAGCATTTGTTTCTTCATGAATATCCCAGATTTTCAAATCTGAAATTTTACTCATAAAAATAATTTTATGTCTTTTAGGTTCCCTCATCTAATTTTACAATGAAAAGTCCTAATATTCTTTATTTTACAACTATTCATCTTAAAATCTAAAACTAATAATCGATATTGGGTACTTAAATCCTCACTTAGAATGACCTTACAATCTTTACAATCTGGACGATCTTTTTTTCTCGTAAGAAAATAGTCAATTTGTGTTTTATTAAATCCATTCTTATAAGTAATAAGATGCTCATTTCTTTTCTTGAATAAAGTATTAGTAATAACAAAATCATACGCTAAACCAAAATCTAAAATGACTCTACCTTCTTCATTTATCCCTCCAAAACCGTAGTCACCATGGATATTTTTTAAATCTTCTACCACTCTACCGACATGTTCATTTATCTAGAAAGAAATATTAAAAAAAATTGCATCCTAATCACAATAAACTTATTCATAAATCACGAATCACTAATAATCCTTTTGAGTAACCACCGTTTAACTAATATGATTATTATATGATGAAGGGATGCTATTAGAGGTCTAGCTTAGTGACGATTCCTTTTAACACCTATGGAAGGTCTGACATTTAAATCATTAAAGAAAATGCGTATAAATATTAAGAATAAAATGACAAATACAAAGAGCATGATAAGATGAATCTAAAATCACCGAAAATGAAGAGGATTTGGGTAAGAAAATAAAAAAAACTAAGGTATGCCACTAAAATAAATAAACAGACTTCCTACCAAATTAAAAAAAAAATTAAAATAAAAATTGTCAACTCATAAACCTAACCAAGCAATAAATCCTAATCATAGAATCAAGTCCAACAAACCAGAAAAAGAAACAATGATTTTAAAAACGATTGAAACTTTGAATTTCTCAACAAGCTAGATAGCATCAAAATCAGTACATAATAACAAAGGGCAGACATAAGCCCGGATTACAGAAAAAATAAATTATTTTCTAAACAATAAGAAACTACTAAAATAACAAAACTGGAATGTCCACTATAACGTTTTCAATTTAAATTACGAGTTACTGCTGGTATTGCTTAAGAAGAGGCACCGCTGCGCAGAGCTTGGGTGGTCTTCTTTTGTTTTTTAGTTGCAATCTGGGTCTCCGGCTGCCAGATTCAGATAAATATTGAAGGAAATAAGCAGGTATATCTAACACAACATAGCTTTAATTTGGTAACTAGCTCAGAATTTTCAAATTTTAACGGTAACTAAAAAATGAGATGGGGGAACTAACCTCCTTCTTAACTGGTTCTTCTTTCTCAGACAAGATCAGTTCAATGTGACAGGGAGATGACATATAAGCTGTAAGACAACATTTTTATTAATGGGAATAAGGCCCTAGTGCTCTCATGATTGCTTGAAATTAGAAAATAGAATTTTAAAAAGGACAATAATCAGAAAATAATTGGAATTCCACAATCAACTTTAGGGAGTGTTTGGTTGAAAGTATGATTTAGCATTAGTAGGATTTGGTAAATCCGAAAATCATAAATTCGTTAAATCCAACCTCCCCATGTACTTAGTAAATCCGGGTTTAAGCCGAATTGAAGGCAAAAATTCGGCCCTTAAATCCAAAAATTCATAAATCCGAGAAACCCTTCCATTTCATTTGGCTGGATTTCATAAATACAGTGATAAATCCTATTCAAGTATGTCACCAAACACCCCATTAAAATAACCTAAAATCTCAAATCATCATTTTTTTAAATATATTTTCATTTAAAAAACCTCAAAATATTAAACAAATAAAAGAAAAGGTGTGAAAAAACGGCATACGGTTGATCCGCCCATGAGCACGGTATGTCCTGCGCCTCTGCTTCTGAGCTTGGTTCACCTGAATGTGAGAAATATAGAGAGCATCCACATCCAAGCCTTTAACCTGAATAAATTATACACAAAGAACCCATTATGTCGGCAGTTATTGTGGGTAAATCTCAAACTAAAATATAAGCACCATACATCAGCATTGCTTTCAGCATTTTTAAGCAAATCCAATATGAATCTAGCAGATTTAACGGGCCAGCGACCCTGTCCGTTTGAATGGCGAGCCTTCGCTTGGGCGGTTCGCCCTACACCTCCACAATACCTCCTGAAGGGGATGGCTTGTTTGTGAGCAATGACGTCCTCAAGATACCGTTTTGCTTTAGCCAAAGGTAACTTTCTTAGAGCGTGGGCAGTTTCCCTTGTATTCTGTAGGGAGATATAACCTTAGAAAATTTCTCAACCACACCTATGATTGCACGGGTAAGGAAAAACAAGACAATAGAAGAAACCAAAATATAATTCAATAACATTAAAATGGCTTACTAAACTTCGATATTATATTACAGATAAAATAACACTTAGCATTATCCAAAATATTAGAGGTTGGCATTATAAATCCTCATTTTTCATTAGTTCATGTTCAAGTGTTTTACTTTAAACCTGTTCTTCGTAAAATCATTTTCAACAATTAAAACCTTAGTCTAACCCTTACTACAGAAGGTTCTAAAATACAACAGAAAATTATCACCAAAAAGTTATGCAACACAAATTTGTAACATGCCAACACAAATTTGTATAGCAATCAACAACAATTGAGAATAAATCATTAAAAAAAATAAACTTAAATGAATTAGCACCAATAAATAGATGGAATAAAAGTATTGCAATATAAGGAAAAATGCATGGATCAACAATCCTATGAACAAGCGTAGAGCAACGGGTAAAAAAAATTGTGTAAAAGAACACCATCATCTAATTTAATACTTAATAGGAATAAAGTGAGGATGTATTCACTGAAACTAATGATGGTGAAGTAGCTGATGATGTCAAAACTATTAAATAGCTCACTAAGCATCATTATAGCGGGCCTCATGGATTGTGTAATACTTCATATTATGGCACTTTTAACAGCAATATCGTAGTGCATTTCACGTTTAAATTTACCTTCAGTCATTTTATCTTTATTTCAATGCATCACAACTCTAAAGTCTCTCCAAGCTTCATAAAATCCTTTTTAAATCAAAAGATATGTTTAACTATAATTTAAATTTAAGAGGCCTTTAAAATAGCATTTCGACTCCACACACACAAAAAAAACATCCTATCTAAATTTGCAATACGCCTAACCTAATCAAGCCTCTCCAGTCCTCCCTCCCCCCATTTCAAATTCAACTCACCTCATTATTTCTTCCAAAAAAAATTTAAGAAAAATTAGCTCAACTGAGAAACACACACCCATATTTTACCCAAACCCCCTCATCCACCAAAACAAATTCAACCCAACCCACCTAATGCAAACATGGGGCAAAAAAAAAAAAAAAAAAAAATGTGTGGAACGTCTCGAATTGCCCCAAGCTGATCAAGTTCAAGACAAAACTAGCCCGCAATTCAAGTTGTCTACTTCGACATTTTAGGAGTATAGATCCCTTCCTAGTCTCTTCTTAGAATTATTTGATTGTTACGAGAGGTCTAAGAATCACTACAAATAGTTTTGTTTTTCCTGTTCAACTTCCCCCTGCAATCTGTCTCTTCTTATCTTTCATGATGAATTTCCTCATATCACAGATTTCATTGCCTTGGCACTACATAGCATCCAATGATTCCTCCAAGAGAATTGTTGCATCCTATGGAAATTGATGGTGAACCATCAAGAATTGACTTGTAGTTCATATCATAGCTCTTTTAGTATCAGTTTCATTGTCTTCTTCATGTAATAGTTTATGTATGGTCCTTGATATTAATTATTACAATTTTTCAAGGGAATATCATCATGTATTATCTTATAATATGTAATTATGCCCATCTTTAAGAATCATCTAATAATAAATAAAGACTATCATAAGTTCAATGACTTATTATTCCTCCTAAGCTAAATGCCAAATCCCATGTCTTCCCCTTTCTCCCTTCTATTCTCATTTTAAGGCTTCTTCCTATTTTCTTGATTTTTTCAAGGCTCATGTCTTCCCCTTCCTCCCTTCTATTCTCATTTTAAGGCTTCTTCCTATTTTCTTGATTTCTTCAAGGCTTCCACAAGTGATCCACATAAACTTTACCGAGAAACATCCTCATCAAAAGCACAATCCAACAAACCCAACTAGTATTGAATCCAAGCACTGCGTCTTTGACCATAAAAAAAAAATCACACCCGATTAAAGATGTGAACAAAACATTCAATTAACCATGTGAACAGCAAAGACATCTTAAAATATGGGAGTGGCAATCTTGCCATTAGAGAATATAAAGAAACAGAGCCAGGAAAATCCAAGCATTATCCTATAAATTCTTCTAACAACTAGATAACACAATGAAAGGAAAACTAATGTACAAGCATAGATCAAAACCACAAAATCAGTTTGGCATACAAAAAAGGCAAATAAGCAGGGAATAAAACAACTGTCAAACGTGCAGTGCATTTGTTGTCCGACAATAAAAATCTAAATAAGTTGTATTTGAGCGCTCACTCAAAAAAAAAAAAAAAAAAAAAAAAAAAAAAAAAAAAGACAAACAGCAAATGATGTATAAGGTTCAAAAAATAGAACCATCCATAAAATAAATGATGAGAGTACAAGAACATGAAGATGCTGAACATATTAGAATATGAATGCATTAATTTATCTGCCAATTATACCCTACTATCTTGATGTAATAAATCACATTATATTCCAATAGCATAATCAGATAGATCAGGACGGTTCAAAAATCAAGAATCACCGCAAACACTTAATGTATCAATGTTAACTGAACCATTTTCCATTAATGTCTGAAAAAGGTTCACCCAATAACAATGACTTCAGTTTCCCTAAAGTTTACGAGATGCCAATTCAAAATGATAATTGGCCCTGCTTTTTTTAGGTGACAAATGAAATAGACATGTTTAATCCACAAGAAAATATAAGTCTTTTTCAATTAAAATGAAATTTGCTAATGCATTTTAACATCTTGTTGTATAATTAACATCAAAGGAATTAAAAGAAAATATCAATCAATTCTTTAGAGAAATGATGCACAATAGCAGAAATTTGAAAAAAAAATTGCACATTATATAAATCAATCGAAGGCTAATTAATAAACAAAATTATTGCTTTCCTCTAAAATCACCTAGGAAAAATACAACAACAAAAATAAAGCACAGTAAAAAATTATACGTTGATCACTTCAAACATCAACATATCAGGAACACAACTGTATAAATAAGAGGAAACACCAGAGTTTCATCTAAAATCTACAAAATAATGTCCTCAAGATAAAAAATTTTGCCTGATCAAAAGAACTCCAGTGACAACTCCATTAAGCTCGTTACTTCAAAAAGAATGGCAGTCTTTTAAAATCATCTAGAAAAAATACAACAACAATAAAGCACCGTAAGAAATTATACTTTGATCACTTCAAACACCAACATATCAGGAACACAGCTGTATAAAAAAGGGAAACACATCGAGTGTCATCTAGAATCTAGAAAATAATGTCCTCAAGATTAAAACTTTAGCCTAATCAAAACAAGTCCAGTGACAACTCCATTAAGCTCATTATATAACAAAAATGCACAATTAAAAGCATTTTTAAGTACCAAAATATAAAAGCATGGTGGTTAAGTAAAGACCAAAAAAAACTGGCTCAAATTATAAGTTTTACAATACTGATGGCTTGAACCAATTTATTGGCAAATATACCTACAGCTTTTTATTATTTTCTATATTCAGGAAAAATTAGTTGATAAACGTGAACAGAAATTTGCCAATTCATTCCAAACAGTACAAAAATTATTATGAAACAAATCTATTCCAGCATCAAAATATTTGTAATGACCCAACAAATAGCACTGCATGTGAATGAAATTCATAAAATTTTGAGATCTATACATGGTAACAACCTGTTACTTTATTTAATTCTGGTATGCCAGAAATTCTCTATTCAACATGGTTAAGCTACTGAAAAAAACTAAAAATAAAGGACTTAAATCACTTCAAACACCAACATATCAGGAACACAGCTGTATAAAAAGAGAAAACACATCGAGTGTCATCTAAAATCTAGAAGATAATGTCCTCAAGGTTAAGACTTTAGCCTAATCAAAACAAGTCCAGTGACACCTCCATTAAGCTCATTATATAACAAAAATACACAATTAAAAGCATTTTTTAGTACCAAAATATAAAAGCATGGTGGTGAAGTAAAGACCAAAAAAAACTGGCTCAAATTATAAGTTTTACAATACTGATGGCTTGAACCAATTTATTGGCAAATATACCTACAGCTTTTTATTATTTTCTATTTTCAGGAAAAATTAGTTGATAAACGTGAACAGAAATTTGCCAATTCATTCCAAACAGTACAAAAATTATTATGAAACAAACCTATTCCAGCATCAAAATATTGGTAATGACCCAACAAATAGCACTGCATATGAATGAAATTCATAAAATTTCGAGATCTATACATGGTAACAACCTGTTAGTTTATTCAATTCTGGTATGCCAGAAATTCTCTATTCAACATGGTTAAGCTACTGAAAAAAACTAAAAATAAAGGACTTAAATGAAGAAAAAAGAAAGCAAATAGTTTTAAAATGTTTGACTCCTCACACAACACAGGCACAAACATTGGCACTGATAAACATAACCAGCAACAAGTAGCTGGTCCATGCATTAACAAATAAAACATTAGGTGATACACTATTCACATCAACAAAGAAAATCAAATTACCCTAGAAAAGCTAAAGAGAATTTGGTTCCAAAGCTAAAACATAATTGAACAAATTGTGTCTTAGAGAAATTTAAAATAATAATAGTCGCAGCTTGGTCAGTATATTTAACAACACAAGCAACTATGAACAAACTAAACTGCAGCAAATCTTTACAAGATTGACCAATCCTAAAAACTCAATATTACATATAATCTCTAGTGCATCATAAAAAAAAAAAAAAAAGTATAAATAGAATCTAGCTCTCATATTTCCTTCCCGCCTTCCAACACCTACAAAAAAAATTAGTTCCAATGTTGATGCTTATCCTTGCTTCTTATCTCCACATAAACCATCTAATTAGCAAGTAGCATTCTCAGCTCCTTTAATCAGCGAGGCTCTCCCACCAAAGAGCTTAATTCAGCTAGTCTAGTTCATGGGTCGAGAACATGCTAAAAAAAGGGCCAACCCAACCCAAATTAGATTAATCTGCATGATGACAATGCAATATCAAATGAATACACCAAAACTAAAATGGAGGCCTAACAACATGAATAGAACTAGCCTACAATTGGTTAGACCAAGTCGTTTGAAAAATGTGTGGAATACACATGATTTGCATGGAAGCATACAAAGCTACACAAGAAGTCTATATTACCAATTGTTATCACCTTTCCCCCATCTAGCCAAATTCTTGAAAGTATAAAATAGTAAGATTTTACTCAAGCTACCGGCCAGCCTATCTTAAGGATATTTGTTAAAATTTACATTAATAAAATATTGAAACTGGTTAGAAAAGAGGCCAAGAATAAAAAAATGGCAGGAGATTAACTTATAAAAAGGTAATTTTCACTTTTAAAAAGTTGTAATAGTGCCCTTTCTATGTGATATTAAAGATTTGAGTGTTATGTGTGTAAATATGAAAGTTTAGGCGCGAGATATACGACGACGACGACGACTACGACAAAACCTTTATCCCACTAAGTGGGGTCGGCTACATGAACCCTTTTTCTCCATTGTTTTCTCCATTGTGTCCTCTTTTTATTTAATTCTAATAAATTAAGATCATTTTTTATACAATATGCCCAAGTCATCCTAGGTCTACCTCAATCTTTGTTAACAAGGTCTACCTCAATCTTCAATCTTTGTTAACATAAGTCGAATTTAAAACATCTACTCTTCTAATTGGATCATCAGATGGTCGACATTTAATGTGACCAAGCCATCTAAGAAAACTCTCTCTAGTTTTGTCCGTCACTGGAGCTACACCAACCCTATAACGGATATATTCATTTCGCATTTTGTCTCTAAGTGTAAAACCATCTTATATTCATTTAGCATTGCAGGTCTCACCACCATCTTATAAAATTTTCCTTCCGGTCAAAGCAGTACTTTTCTATCACACAATAAGCCTGAAGCATTCCTCCACTTCAACCAACCAACTTGAATTCTACTAATAACATCCCTATCAATACAAAAGAATTGTGTGATATGTATGCAAATGCCCCTAAAATTTTACAGTGTAAGGAAAACAGCAAAACTTAAAAACAATTTTCTTTCTCCTAATCAATCTAAAAACGCAGAGGATATGCATTACCAAGGGAGCCAAGGGAGCATATGTCGATTCAAGTTGTTCATGCTTAAGCATCATGTACAGCCAATTTATTCTTGAGTTCAAGACATGGCACATACGGGTACGTACGTGAGTTATTAAAAAAATCCAATTGGAAAAAATGCCTGCTTTATAAAATAGATAAATGGGGTGGGTATAAGAACATATATATAAAATATTTATCAAAATCCAGTATGCAACTCTCATCTAAGGCCAGTACACATAATTATCAATTCTAAATTAAAAACCTCTCCTATCTAGGGCAAGAAACTAACGAAACTAACCTTAAAATGAACCCTGAGGTCCCTGCCCATAGCCTTCGCGGCTGCAAAAAGACAATCAGAATCAGATGCATCACCCGAAAAAGAGACGCAATAAAGAAGCTACGTGGGTTGAAGAAGAAAGCTTACACTTGGTAGGGTTGGAGGGCTCCTTCGAGTACTTGACCTGTTCATGAGCGAGATCAGCACAGCTGGCGATAAGCAGGAGACACAGAGTTCAAAAGAGGAGGTTGATGTAAGGTTTACCATGATGGCTGCCTAGAGTGGATCTCCGATGTGGGTGTTCAGTCGAGGACGCCTCTTCCTTGTGCGCCGCAAGAAATCGAAGGCAGTAATATATGAAGATGCGAAACCATAAAACCAATCTGAAAACCCTAGCTCCAAAGGTTGGGTGCGACCACGCCGGCTTAGCGCACCGGATCCGAAGCAGCACTTGGCATGAATGACCAAGGAAAAGTAGCATCATTTAAGGTTGTGAAGAAAATGTTTAGAATTTATTGATTGAATCAGAGTTAAATTGGGTGTATAATAAATCTAAAAATTAATTGAATATAACTGAATTAGTAAAATAATTATATAATAATATAAATGTAAAAAATAAATAAACAAATAAAATATAACTATAATTTTCTAAGCTTTTAAAACAAATAAATATTAATTCAAAATCTAAATCGTAAAGTATATTTATAACAAAGCCATCTAAATCTAGATGATTGAGGCTTCATATCGTCTTAAAACCAACCATGTGAACAAGAATCGACCGACACACTGAGGCAAGAGATCAGACCACGCCTACAATCCCGACCGATCATAGTGCCTGTAGAAAAGCTTAATCGTGACCAATCGATTGACTCATTTTTACCACGGCGAGCGAGATCGCCACTCGATCGGACGTCTCTATCAATCAACATAAGGAGCGGTCGCCACTCAGCCAGTCATATCAGTCGGTCAAATTCAAGCAAATCAGCCTGTCAATTACAGACATATTAGAATTCAAATTGTAATGCAAATATGGTATGAAATCCACACGATTAATTCAAACATCATTTGTATTAAGAGTTGTTTCTATAATTGTCCTCTCCTTTTTGTAATTGTACAAAATGTGCTTTTATAAATAAGAGACAAATATGTGAATAAAGAGGGCACTTCTGGTTCTCACTCAAGTGAATTATTGATTTATTCAAATCTCTCTTTATCTTTCCTCATTCATCTGGTTCCAACTATTAGGGTATGTTCACAAAGGACAATTTAGGATTCAAAATCCTAAAAGGTGGTGCAGTGAGTGTGGATCATGCCACAGATGAGGAGTGATAAAGACTACGAAGGATGAACCTCCCAAAAAGAGGTAGCATGCATGGGAACTCAGTAGAGGGGGTTTTTAACTCTGACCCACATTACCCTAAAGCTCTGAAAATCTGATAAGATTAAAATTCAAACCCAAGGGGAAGGGGTAAGGCACCAAAGTCAAACTCTGGTCTCGCTTAAAGCTTTCCCAACTCCAATCAACCCTAAAATCAGCATAAACCCTAGACGCATCAATTTAAACCCTAAAATTTGGAATCAACAAAATTCATCAAGCCAATTAGTGAACAACTAAACTCCTCAAAACAAAATCAAAATAAATTCAAAATATTAAAACCAAAGACACTTAAACATCAAAATTAAATTATGAAGGCTCACTAAGCTTAATCCTTTTGGGCCAACCCTAATCATCTAAGGCTAAGCTTAACTACGAAAGCCCAACCTTTACCTTAAGCCCAAGCCATCATGGGAGAGCCCATGGTCCATCTCACATGACCCATTCCCTATGGGTCAACCATGAAACACACATAATCCAAATAACCTACCATGACACTACAACCTAAACATGAATTAATTAAAATAAAATTAAACAAAAAACAAGCACATAAAGATAAACCATGCACACTTAACCAAGGGGGCTAACACTTGACACCTAAGTCCAACTCACCCATGTTCAAACCTTGGAAAGCCAAACTCATGTAAAGGGTGAGTCAAACTAGACCAATTCTGGTCCAAGACACCCCACCAAAAGTTCTTCCAATCAATCCAAGCTACTCTCCATGCCACCTTCACCTCCATGGAGCAACCATGCTCAAGGCGTCAAAGATGGTGAAGTAATTTACCTGTACCAAAAAGCCTATGAAATCCTTCTGCTTATTCTCAGAGGAACCACCAGAGTCTCCCAAGCAGGCCAGAGCTCCCTCATGGACTCTCATGGCTATAAAAGGAGTTAACCAGAGAGCCTTGGAGACACCTCAAACTCACCAAACCCTCATTTAAACTCTCTGCATTCAATACCAAAGTTGCTCACACAAACCCTAACGGACACCTCCCACCATTTCCAAGCCATCTTCACCACAACACAACCCTAATTTCCCCTCTAAAATCTAGGACTTTTTATGTCCTTGACATAAACCTTGCCAAAACTCTTTTTCAACCCTCCTATAAGCTTCATAAGGTCCTACAACCTCTCTCCTAATCAAAATCCACTCTTCCCGCACCCTCTAACCTACCTCAACACCAACCCGAGCCATTTATTGGTCTAGGGCATTCTTAGGCCCAACCTCAAAGCATTTTGAAGTAAGGGGAAGCTTCGTGGCATCAAGGAGATCATCTCTGTCAAGCCCAATAGAGGCCTCACAACTTGGGATAAGGTAATGACTTGAATTCACTTTTTTTTTCTCTTAGTTTGGTCTCTTGGATAACAAAACTACAATACATGCCTACTTAAACCATATAGATAGGCTCGTCTCACCTAGATGAAGCTATAGGATCAAACCTTATGCGATTTGGTTGAGTGTAAAACGAGATTTTAGGGTTTAAGTGTGGGTGCAATATCGTTTTTCTATCCTGTGGGGATGATGGACAGACGTCATCCATTTTTTTGTATTCGAAACAGACGGTGGGGATCAGGCCTAGAAAGCGGATTGCGTAGAGCGGAGCAACAAATCAGATGCCACCTCAGCATCTGCATGTAAATAACAACCAACCATGGAGCACCGCACAGTCGTTCGATGCGTACGAGGAATGACGCGACATTGATGCAGCTAAGTAGGAAATTTGTGTTTTTTTAATTATTTAAATTCAAAAAATTTCTACAAGCTTTTAAAATTCATAACTTTGAAAATAAAAATCACAAAAATAAAATAAAAATACCCCGCACTCAGTGAAGAAAGAAAAAAAAATAAAATATTTAACTTATATTTATTTTTTAATTAATTAAATACCCCAGAGGGTATTTTAATTATAAAAAAACTAAATATGAAACATAAAAATATGAAATTTTCAGGAATTATTTCCTCCACCATCAGGGATATTTCTTGATTTTTCCAAAGTCATGAGATCTTCTTAACACCAAAATGTCTAGTTTTCCATTAAAATTATAATTATTTTGAAAAAAGAATTATAAAAAATAAATTAAAAATCATAAAAATACAGTATAAGACGAAAATTCAAAATAAAAATTAGAGCAACAACCCTAAACACTAAAATGAGAATTTTCAGCTCTGAAAACTTAAGAATAAAATTAGAGCATTAGGGGCAAATCTATAAAATTACAAATTTTACATTTTAGCCCAAATTGTCTTCCAAACTTAAATTAAACATAAAGATTAACTTAGAAAATCTTTGGATTAAATTCTAATGAAAAACATTATGTTAAGTAGGGAGGTTAATGTCATGACTACCCTTTTAGTTGTAAGATTACCTCACTCAACTAAAGCCCTAAGCCTAATTTGGATCTAATCCAATGTAGACCTAACTTATTTATATTTAGGTCTAACCCAACTTAGACCTAACTCAACCTAAGTGACTTCAAACTTAAACCTAGGTTTAGCCCCAATCTAGACCTAATTCAAACTAAACTCAACTCTAAATTCAACTCAGGTTTAACCTAACTTAGACCTAACTCAGTCTAAACTCAATTAAACTCAACATCTAAACTTTCATATTTACACATAAAATCAAATCTAATATCACATCAAAATAGCATTATTATCACTTTTAAAAAGTGAAATACTCATTTCATGCATGAATTTATAGCACAAAAGTGTTATGTATGTAGATATATATGTAGATACATAAAAAATGTGTGCTAATTTCTTTCAAATAGCAGAACAAAAAAAGTCCCTTATGCTTGTCAGCTCATTGGAGGCATCTCTACATCGATCAAGCCAACTCATGACACTTCTTGGTAGCACTTTTTTCCCATTTTGCATGAAGTTTTCAAAATTAAGAACTTGAATCATATTTACACATGGAATTTTATGAGTAAAAATTTTAATAGATGAGTCTTATTCAAATTATATTTATTTGATTTTCTTAGGACGATAACATTCATGCCACTCAATTTATTTGTATTTATATATTTTTTGAAATCTTTTAGGACATATGGTCATGTATTGTCCGTGTTTTCATATAACCCAAGAAAGATTGTGGAAAAAGATTATGACTATGTTAATAGAGCTTATGTTATTAACATTTTCTCTGAATCTTAGGGGGATGAAGAATAGTTTTTTGGAGGAAGGGTGGGCTCTGGGTTCAATTCAGAGACATAGTTGAGAACAACATACTTAGCCCATTCGTACTAGCTAAAGGACAAAAAAACTTTATAATCATCATGAAGAATGTTAAACTTATTTTTCAAATATATTGTCTCATTCATGAATTATCTCTTGTGCATCAAATTCTGGTAGACTATTTAAAATTTACTAGATTAATGATGTGATTTTAATTTGTGTTGGAGAATAGTAATTTTGTGCAAATATCATAGAGAAATAAATGCAATGAAGCCCTTACATCAATACTACTATATTGTGGAAAAATCATAATGATTTCGAGTATTATAAAATTTAAGCAACCAGTGTAGCATTTAAGTGCCTATGTAGAAAAGCCTTTATCCAATCACCTAGCTCAAGTACCCAAGCTCTAGACCAAGCTTAAGAATAAATTAAGTCAATACCCAAGAGCCTAACTAAGGCACCTAGGTGCCAAACCCACAAATAGAGAGATTAAAGCCTAATTGCCCAATCTAAGGGCTTAGAAATTAAAATTCAACCCAAAAAAAAAGAGCTATCACCTTGGCACCTCATCTAGGTGATTAGGCTCTAAAATGACTTAAAATAATAACTAAATATAAAGACTCGGGAGCTTAGGTAGTGCTGGGGCACCCATCCTAAACTTATAGAAATTTAATAACAATTTTTACTTATTGGGAGTTGAATTGATAATTTTGTAAGGGAAATTTACCAAATGACTAAAAGAACATTTTGCCGAAGTATTGGAGGAACTTTATATGGTTTCAAAGCAAACATTTTGAGTGGAATTGACAGAAAATATCAAGAAATACCATGTCATGAGAAAGAAGATGGAAGTGGAGCTAGAGGTTATGTTACTTTGTTATTTCTACTCCTCTCTTTTTTTTTATTCATCATGTTGCTTTTAATGTATTTTGCGACTTTTTATCCTATTATAAACAAAGAGCAATTTGAAGGGATTGGATATAGTTGAATGTTGCAGTTGAGTTTATTTATAATATCTCTTTTGGAGTTCATATTTTCTGATTTATTATGTATTATATTCTATGCTTTATTACTGATTTTTTTTGTTGCTATCAATCGATAATTTAGGAGGTTGGTACACAATTAAAATGTGAAGAATGTATATATCTTAGGAAAAATATTACATTGGATGGATCTTAATTATAGGGGACTATATTAAACTTATGTAATCCATTTGATGGAGGTTGCACACTAGTTAACTGAATATTTAAATAAGACTACTTCTAGAGGACTAGTTGTAAGGGTGCAGAAAATTTTCCAAGATGTGCTGCAATATTAGAAATTTGCCCTTATATAGCTTCAAACATCACAAGCTACAATTGAAATTAATGTTCCATACACATTCTCCATTTTTGGTGTGGCCTTACTTGAATCATTCCTACCGGTATAGGCACAATATAGATTTATAATGATTATGATCAAGTATTTAATTAAATGGATAGTGGCAAAGATGCTTGCTAAGATGACTACAAAATATTTTTAATTTTATATGAAATAAAATCATTTGCTGACATAGAATGCCCTAAGTAATCATCACTGACAATGATCAACAATTCTTTGAAAATACTCTAAATAAATATTCCAAAACCTAGGAATTTAACTAAAGTTGTCCTTAATGCATCACCCAAAAACTAAAGGTCAAGTCAAAGCCGCTAAAATACATATTTTTATAAACCATCACTTGAAGAAAAATCAAGTATTTTAAAAGGATACTTGACAATTTTGATTTTCATGTGTAGGATATTTAATTAATTGATTGTTTCATGATTTAATTTACTCTATTGTAATTCTCTTCCATTTGATATTTATTTATTATTTTACCATATAAGAATAAAATTTACATTTTTGGTATTATAGTTATATCATAGGCGTTTATTTAAGGGAGATATACTCTATTAATTCAGGGAAATAATATAATTTGCATAATATTTGCAATCAATTACAATGCTAACATTGCTAAATTGAGAGGTTAGGTCACCTAAGTATGTGAAAATATGTTATTGTTGAACCCATGAGCTATAAGTTATAGAAGCTTGACTTTAATGTTAACAAACATAAGAAAAGAGTCTTCTAATAGACAACAATGGGGGGTGGTAGTGGATAGCGGTGGCTAGGCCTGCCGACGATGGGTATACTGTGTTGGGGAGGCAGTAATAGCCAACGAGTGCAATTGCCGACTATGATAGCAACTGGCCAACAATTTGTGTGGCTAGCGGGAGGTTGGTGGATAGCGACGATAAGTTGCGGCGGGCAGTGGAGGCGATAATGCATGGGTTGTAATTTATAATTTATTTGGAAATCACCTAAATCCAGTGAATTGAGAATACAACCATTTTGAACTACTTGGTGAATTCCACATCCATCATAATTTTACATTCTATTTTATTTTCATCCAATCAAATGTTCAAAAAGTTTTAGAACACTTGTATTTGGTTTACTTTACACCACAAATATAGGGAACTAAATACCCCCTTACAGATTAATGAAAGCCGTGAACTAAATTAATTCTATCATATGACGTTGGTGTTCAGTATTCTATATTACGTTGGATTTTTTCTTTTCTATTTTTTTTTCAGTTGCTGCTCACATATGAAAACACCTACTGTTTCAAATCATATCACTAATACCTAATTAATTTTACTTCATTGCAGATTCCTCATTTTAACACTTCAATAAGCTACAATATGGCGCTAATTCTTTCTTCGTTTCTGCTCAAATCTCTACGGAAAATATACGTAAGACGTACGCAGCATTGCAGCGTTGCGTACATCAGGAGATTATTCAGAGGGTACAAGAGGAGTTGTATCCGCGTTATGCCCCCTGTAACTTACCTGTAACCTACAAATAAGTTCCGCGCTTCTGTAGTTCCGGTTGGTACAAGTTACAGGGAGGTTACAAGATATACACGGAGGTTACAGGAGGGTATAATGCGGATATAACCTCCTGTACCCTCTGAATAACCTCTGACGTACGCAGCACTGCGTACGTCTTACGTACACAAATATTTCCCAACCTCTACGACCAATAAGATAGATGATGATAAATTTGAAGCATCCATAAACCATAGTTAAAGTTTTTGACCCCCTGTAACCTACCTGTAACCTATAAATAAGTTCCGCGCTTCTGTAGTTCCGGTAGGTACAAGTTACAGGGAGGTTACAAGATGTATAATGCGGATATAACCTCCTGTACCCTCTGAATAACCTCTGACGTACGCAGCACTGCGTACGTCTTACGTACACAAATATTTCCCAACCTCTACGACCAATAAGATAGATGATGATAAATTTGAAGCATCCATAAACCATAGTTAAAGTTTTTGCAAAGGATATGGATTGCAACAAAAAAAAAAAAAAATCTTAGTTAAACAATTTTGAAAAAAAATATATTGTAATTTCTATGCATCATAAATTAAAAAATAAGACAATAATCACCAGACCCTCGCTACAATTACCTTATAAAATGAGAAAAAAAAAGAACATGTCAGAAACAATCATAATCTGTTGAATTTCCTGCAACGGCTCCATGAATTGCTTGATGAACAAAATTAGTATTAGTACATGCCGTTCATTCCTTTGGGTGAAACAAAGCATAAAACTTGGGGGAATAGACCAAAAAAATTCAGTCCCCTCAAAATATTAAAAGCTCGTTTATTTCTTTCAACTAATGTACATTACTTAAATATCAACTATTTTGTGACAACAATTTGTAATGAAAACAAAATGAGATTTCAAAAATAATAGGTTGACAAAAATGAGGAGAAGGTAGTTGTATCCACCCAAGTAGGAAAAAGGCCCTTCAATTTCCTTGTGTCATTAAATATATGCTGGTCAAGCACTGCAAGATCAACCCTCAATGCTTCAGAACTATTAGCCTGCAAAAAGCAACAATTGGATTACATTTACATAAATAACACCCAATTCCTATGTACTTTTAGGTATGTTATTTACATTTCTAATACCATTTTTTTTTTTTTTACATTTATACCATCCAAATCTGTCATGCCATGTAAAAAGTACCGCCATTTTAACATATAAGTATATGCATGTAAAAATTGAAGCACTTGTGTAAGATATGTAAATACATAAGAATTGAGTGGTATGAATGTAAACTTCCATGAATTAACTAAGAATACAATTATATTGAGAGTCTGACAACAAGAAGAACAACCTCATGACATGGAATATTTTGAGCCAGCAAATATCTTTTTCTTTTTAGGGTAACAGAAGTTGCAAACTAATAAGTTCAAAAGTGAAAATCAATGAAAAAAATGCTACAAAAAAACAAGGTTGTAGGGATGTATTCATGTAGACGAGTCAATTCGGCTAAAACTCTTCTCATTCCTTAGCTCAAGAAACTCTCTTATCACGCCACAACCTTAACAATGATGTTTCACCTTACCATAAATCTTATACATCATTTGATTTGAAAATACTGTTTTATGTTTTATGAAAAAAAAAAAAAATTATTGTTTGGAGTTAGTATTCAACAGAGAGCTAGAGAAAGAAGAAAGAGGAGAAAAAAGAAAAAAAAAGGGGGCAAGAGAAGAAATCAAGGGAGAGAAAACAGAAAATATATCATAATAGACAAAAAGAAAGTATTTGAGTGAGCATTTATCTGTGTGTGATAGTAAACGTCGGAAGATGTCTCAAATCTATTATGTGTTCTCTATTTTTGTGTTCATTTCTATTATGTAATTACCATTACATTTGAAGGGTTCTGTTTATTTTTCCTTCGTTTCATTTACTATTGCGAGTAGATGTTTTAGATTCGACTTATGTTAAGAAAAACAGAGGTAGACCTAAGAAGACTTGGGCTTATTGTATAGAAAATGATCTTAATTTATTAGAACCAAATGAAAATATGACACTAAATAGAACGTAATGGAGAAAAAAGATTCATGCAGCCGATCCCACGTGGTGGGATCAAGGCTTTGTTGTTGTTGTTGTTGTTGTTGTTCATTTACTATTGCCTTCTGGGCAAAGGCTCGAAGGCTTTTCACAGACATGGATCAAGTAACATGATACCTTGGTAACTAGAATTAACTTGATATGAGACATTACACAATAATGTATGTTAATACACTACTGAAGTTAAAAAGTGATCTCCTTGCTCTTAAAGATTGTGATTTGTGTCCTCGTTTAAAAAGACTGTTTGATATTACTATAGTAATCCTATAAAATAGAGTTTGAGAGTGTCAGTAAGAATGCAGAAAACCCAGATCTTTTTTCTTCTCGAAAATTTAGATACATACTATTTAATTCCTATTTATTTATATATTTAACACTAAAACTTCAATTTTTACATACCTAATACCTTACCCATGCATGAAAAGTTGTATTTCACTTTTTAAAAGTTAAAATGGTAGTATTTTAGACTTGATAAGAATTATTTAGGTGGTATGGATGTAAAAAGTAAAATTTAGGAGTTGCATATAATAAATACATAGGGATTGGGTGGAATTTATGTAAATGCGCCCTTTTTTTGGTATATTTAGGCATCCCTGGTTCTTAGGGAGGTCATTACGAAAATTTCCTAGGCTAAGTACAATTAAAAAAAGGAAAAAGGGAAGGCTTCCACATTAGAATAAGAGAGGACAAAGATAATCCATGTAACAAGATGGTTAAAGAGTTATTCTGGCTAATGATTCGTCACAGCTATCACAACAGTTCCAACAGACTATCAGATGCACGCAAACAAGCAATCATGTCAAATTGAAAAATGGGGTAATTAATTCATCAGAAGCACGTATGATCAATGATTAATAGCAACATAGTTCATGCGTAAAAAACCAAGATATATCTATTGATAAGGAGCCTACCAAAGTACCACTAGTTCAAATATATATATAATCGAGTCGATCAATGGCGTCGGCGGGCAGCTCTGATAGGGTTTCGCCCGATGGAGATTTCCTGTTTCCTTAATTCCTTCGTTTTCACATGTCACTTGTTTCGTTGGGCCCGACGACGAAGGGTCTCTTTGATTCCTTTGTCTTCGGCTTCGGTTTCGTTGTCTTCCTCCCTTTCCTGTCGCCGTAAGACTCTCATCGCTGTTACGAGGCGGGCGCGGCTTCACTCGTTTTCCTTCTTCGTCTGCAGCTGCGAGATTTTTCTCGCACATCGTCCTTCTTCGTCTGCTGCTACGGTGTAGGTCTTCGTCGCCCTCTCTGTCTGTTGCTGCGGCGACTACTCGTTTAGTCTGCAGTTCACAATGGGCTTTCCTCCATCCCGCTCCTTGTTCCCTGTTCAGGATTCAAAAATTGCTCTCTAATTTCTTCACTGTTCTTAACGCTACACCTCTATCTATTAGGGATGACTTCAGACAGATCGTATGCTGCCGCCCTTGCGGTTGTCCGCGCCTCAAGTATACCTAAATCGTGCTCTTTTCCTTTTTCGTTTGAGTGGACGCAAAACATCAAAAAACCTAGTAAGAAGAATGAGAAGTCTGCCATCTTTTTTACAGAAGCTGAAGGTATTCAACTTCATCCTGTCATCTGAATTTGGTTGATAAATTTCTTAATGGTCATCCCAAACCCAAAATATTCTGTATGACTATCCCAAAATAGAGCTGATTCGTAAGAAATTTGAGCTTATGCACCTTGTTGGGGAGTGAAAAATTGGACTTTCAGATGAAAGCACGTTCTTATTCAACTTAACAATGAAGAAGATTACACGTGTTTATTTGCTAGAAGAATAATCTAGATTGATAACAGAGCAAATGTGAAGATTTTAAAATGGTTTGTGGATTTTGACCCACAGACGGAACCACCAATCATTCCGGTTTGGATTCGCCTCCTTAGTATGAAATTTCATTATTTTACTCAAAAAGTGTTGTACTCTATTGCGTCAGTTTATGTAAGCCATTCAAAACGGACATTCTCGCTTTTAATCTTTCCCATCCACCTGAAGCCAGAGTACTTGTTGAAAGAGACATCACTTCATCCGCTTCTGAGAAAATTTGGTTGAGCACAAAACACTATGAATATTGACAAAAGGTAGTGATTGAGTTTTTTCTTTCGTATTGTCCGAATTGTTATTCCCCACCTCAGACAAAAAAAAAACAAAGTGCTCCGCCAGAGGTAGTGAATTCATCTCGTCATGATCAGCTCCAAGTTATTGACACTATTGATCATAAAAAAAATACCACTGAAAACGTCACTATCCTCGCAGGCAATATTTCAACCTTTCAGTCTCTACACAATATTGTAGCTCCCCTGACTTTGGAACCTCCTATCATGTAGAGGAAAAAAATTTGCGTACATAAGACGTACAACAGAGCTGCATACGTCTGTAACCTGCAAAGATTTCAGGAGGTTATAACCGCGTTATACACCCTGTAACCTCCCTGTAACCTACCTATATATGAAAATAGAAGCGCGGAACTTACTCGAAGGTACAGGTAGGTTACAGGGAGATTACAGGAAGTATAACGCAGTTATAACCTCCTAAAATCCTCCCTGTAACCTCTTTGCAGGTTACAGACGTACGCAGCTCTGCGTACGTCTTATGTACGCAAATTTTTTCCCTTATCATGGGGGAGAGGGAGATTCTTTAGACCCTACCTGTCCTAGAACCTATCACTGATATTAAAGGTGACAATACTTCTATTGCTTCACTACCTCCTCATCAGGTTGAGCAAGTTGTTAGTGTTACTCAGGCTCATGGGGATCATGATGTGCAACAACCTACACTTGCCCGACCACCTTTGGAACAATCCATTGATCAGATGAGTCAATCATCGGATGAGGAACGAAAGGTCTACACATCTAGGAGGAAAAAGAAGAATGGAGACCTACTTGAGCTCAGGAATCTGATGGATGATACTTTGATTACTTCGGGTAATGATACTCATCTTACCAATTTGTTAGCCGACTCTCTTCTGAGAACTAGAGGCAGATGGAGGACTAAAGTGGGACGTTCCTAGCACTTTTGCATCAGTTGGTGGCTTTTTAATTTTTTATCCATATATATCTTTGCTTTATTTGAGATTTGTGTGTGTTTTATTGTGTGAGTTGGGTCTTCTTTTAGGCCCTCTCATACAACATTTCTATATCTCATACAACAAGTTTATCAAATGCAAATATAGATGTAAAGTTCAAAATTTTTTATAACAATATCTTAAAAAAAGTCCTAAGGTTTTATAGCCTTTCTTCCACATCTCACGAAAATAATTAAAACTATTTTTATAAATCCTAAAATTTATAAGGATCATTTTGATATATATGTACATATAACTAATTATAAACATTCTTATATAAATCAATTTAGAGTTTAAATTAATTAACCTAAGTTTAACTGAATAATATTATAGTTTAGTTTATCAACCTATAACATTTTTAGTGGAATGACATATTTTTCCACTTAATCTTTCATGCATGGCCGATAAAAAACAATGGCTGTGATTTTTGGACCTCAAGGACAATATAATTGAATATAATAACTCTACTTTACACATTGTATTGATTTATAGTAAGCAAAGTCTCATTTCAATGTATCCCATACCCAGAAATTTGCTCCATTTCTTGCTTCCGTGAATAGCACAGGGGCAGACAAAAGGGAAAAGAGAAGGAAAGAAGAGGAAAGGAAGAAAAGAAAGAGAAGGATGAAAGGAAAGGAAGAACAGAGGAAGGAAAAGGGCAAAAAAGCTAGATTTTTTATTTAAAATATGGATTTATCATAATTCTTTGATGAATTGACTTTGAATCAGAGTTAGACAAATGCTTATATGATGAGTGACTTGATGTCTAATGTTATTCTGAAATAAATTGATCAAAACTTTTATTGCTAAGACAAAATCAATTTAAATTGTGGGCTTTGAATCAGAGCTATACCAACCTTTTCACATATACATTTATTTCGTATTTTGTGTTTAATAGTCAAGCCACTTGTCCACCTAAGCATTCTCATCTCAACAACATTTAATTTAGTTTTATGCTTCTCTTTTATGGGCCAACATTCCACGCCATAATTCACGGCCGGTCTCACCATCATCTCATAAAATTCTCCTTTAAGTCTAAGCATTACTTCTCTATCACATAAAAGGCCCGATGCATTCCTCCACTTCAACCATCCAACTTGAAACCTACTAATAATATCCCCATCTATATCACCATCACTTTGAACAATAGAACCGAAATATCTAAAACTTTCACTCCTTTAAATGATTTGATCACCCATTGTTACAACTCCATCACTAAGTCTACTACAACCAAAATTACATTCTATGTATTTAGTTTTAAATCTACTCAAATGAAGGCCTTTAGACTCTAATGTAGACACCCATAATTCAAGTTTATCCTTAACTCTTTCTCGTCTTATCTACAAGAAAGATATCATTAACGAAAAGCATACACCAGAGTACATTCTCCTGCAAATGTACAAATAGTGCATCCATAACAAAAAGATATGTGCTTAAAATCGATCACTGATGTAATCCAACTGAAATAGGAAAATACTTGGTCAATCCTCCTCTTCGAACACAAGTAACAACTCTAGTATACACATCCTTAATGACTTGAATATAAGTCATATCAACACCTTTCTTTTCTGAAACTCTTCAAAGAACTTCTGTTGGAAACTTATTGTAAGCATTTTATAAATCGATAAAAATCATATGTATATCCTCTTTACTACCTCTGTACTTCACCGTCAAATCTCTCAATAAATGTATAGCTTTCAAAGTAGACTTGGCCGACATAAAACCAAACTATTTATGAGAAATCTTTGTATCACAACTTAACCTATGTTCAGTTACTCTCTCCCGTAATTTTAATGCATGACATATTAAATTAATTCCTCTATAATTTGCACACTCTTATGCATCCCATTTATTCTTAAAAAGAGGGAACAAAATGCTCTTCCTACATTCCTCAGATATCTTCTTAGTTTTTTTAAATAATATTAACAAGTTTACTAAGACAAGAAATTCCCAAATCTCCTAAATATTCCAGACTTCTATTGAGATATCATTTGATCCTACTGATTTTCCACTATTTCTACTAATACAATGGTAAAAATAAAAAGTTTTATTTTTATTAAAGATATTAAGATCATTAGGGTCAATCATATTTTCAAAAACTTCAATGAAAAGTTCATCAAAATAACTCACCCACCTACTTTAAATTTCTTCTAAGAAAAGTATAGAATGACACAATATTCTGAGAGAAAATCATACTGTAATTTGTTGTTGTTTCTTTGTACAAGTATATTAATGCTTATTCTTATATAATCAAATTTTAATTTTGAATGTTATAATAGTGTATTGGTCAAAATATGCTCAGCCTTATAATTATGTCAAGTCATAATTAAGACAATAATTATTTCTCTTGAGTATTTAAATTTTGTATTAAAGTTGTTTATCTTGTTGCTAGATTATTCTGATTGTCTTTACAGAAAAAAGAAAAAATGAGGTTGAGGCAAAATAAAAGTTATATTCAATTTAGTTATCATTTTTTGATGTATAGCTGTTGTAAGATAAAAAAAAGTACTTGGATCCAATGTAGCAAATGAAGTTAATATTTTATAGAACAATATTGATATTTTATAGATGTTTTGTAGATGCATATATATGAAATATTTTTAGATTTCTTCCGCTTAATTGATTGGTTTGATTTTACTAGCTATGTGCCAATTATAATAATATGTTATATGTGTGTTTTAGGTCCATTTGTGTGATTGAATTTATCACTCACTCTATTCTGCTAAGATATCATTATAGTTATTGTAAGTAAATTCAATCAGCTAAATTGTATTCGTCTCTGTTATGTCCCACATTGATTTAGGAGATGGTCATCAATGGGGCGTGACAATGGATAACTTCAATGTCAAATCCATGTCTATCATAGTGAGATGATTTTTGCTTCCTCTTCCTCAAAATAACCTCAGCAACATTTAAATAGAGAAGAACATGGAAATATGAATAATCTCATTATTAGGATCTACATCCATCCTTCCTCGACCAAAATGGAGACAGTTGTTCTCAAGGAGAAAGCCTTGCCACAAAAGATAAATTTATTTCAGGAATAGGGAGTTTACCTCCAACCAAAATGTCCATTTTTCATGACTGCGTCCACTAAGTCTGCATATATAGGATGGCGGTCCACTGTCCATTGATTCAGGAGCTGCAGAAAAAAACTACTTTATGAATGCCATAAAAACATACAACAGCGAATAGGCCAAAAAGTTTAGTTAAATTAGAAATAATTTACCGGGAAGCTTGTTGTCAGCAAAGGACCAATTTGACAAAGGACCAGTAATGTTAAGCACTGTCACCCATACCTCTTTTAATGAGCTGCAATGGGCAATATGGAAAATGAATAAGTATCAGCTGTAGCATTATGAAATTTTAGTTGTATCTATAATTTCTAAAGTGAAAAGAACAACCCTAAGTTTAAATCAAGGTGTACTCTTCGAGATCGAGTTGTCGACAGTGAAGCAGATTCATCAACTGACAAATAAGGTAAGTAATTGTATTGTTCATAGACATCATCACGAGGAGCAGGAAACTTCAAGCTTCCTGAGAATAAAAATGCTACTGGGAATAGTGCCTGCAAAAGGAAGAAAGAAAATGGAAAGAAAATGAAACTTTTTGAATAAAGAAGCATGTATTGAACCTAGATGGATCTCTATTTTGGAGTAGCAGAAACAGAATACTTTGTGGATTTATAAATGTAATTCTAACAATTTATATTACTTAACATTCATCAAGCACCTAAAAGCAAGAAAGTTACTATGTTAAAATTAACCATTATAAATTAAGAATTTAGGAACCGTTTTAATTAAAAGTTACAAAAAAAATTTTAGTTAAAGCCTAATCAACTTCTTTTCCATGCTTGGGATTTAACCACATTTTCACCAACAAAACTTGGAGATTTCTTATGGGCTTGTTCGGAATCAATTTTGTTATTTTTTTAATTTAATTTTTAAAAACATGTTTATTTTGTGTGTTGTTGATATGTTTTTATTTTTTATTTCTAAACAAATTAACATATTTTTTAAAATATTCAAAAATAACATTCAGGCATTTTGAGTGTTTTTAAAAATAATTATATTTTAACAAAAAGGTTAAATATATTTTGTTTCAAAACAAAAAATAAATAAAACAAAATAAAAACAAAAAATAGAAAATAAAACATAAAAATGACCCCAATCAGCCCCTACGCTACAATGATAATTATTTGACAAAAAAACAGGAGATAAAGTTGTATCAAGTAAAAGACAAAAAGAAAAAGCAATAGAAATCATTTTATTTTGCAAAGCAATATGCTGAGAGGATTGGTAGTTGATAGATAGACCCTTATGTAGAAAACAATTTACATACCACCCACGAGCATTTTGTGGAATGATGATCTGCTTTAAAGGAAAAATCTGAACCAATGTTTAGAATTTTTGCGGCTTCTGGTGAATTCTTGAAAAGGAAAGTTAACGAATTGGCATCCACAACAGAAAATTCAAAGCTGGAGTCCACAATCTTATTTGCATCTGTCAAAATGAACAAAGAAGTTAGGAGGTCTAAAAATAAAGCAAATCATTTTGCACCATTACATGCCATAAGATCATAACGAAAACAGATATAAGCAACACACAAAAAAAAAACCAGAGGGCTATAATTTCTTTTACTTTTTTAATATAACAAAGAAAAATCACTAGAAAATTAATCATTTTATCTTTTTGACAAATAATATTTATTGATTTTCTACAAATAATGGATTTATCATGGTTGGGCATGTGTGTCTGGCAATGCTGTTACAAAAAGAAAGAAATCTGAAGTTCAGAGAAAATGATATCCAAATAAAGAAACTCCACAGTAACATTAGGATATTTCTAAATAATAGGGCCAAAATTTAAAGAACAAAAAAATCTCAACCTGAATAGAAATAAACATTGACCGATATAACATAAACACGATCACCGACATCAGCCAAATCCCAATCAAATCATATTTTTCATTCATTCATAATGAGTGTTGCGAGTTAGCTAATCCTATTCTTCAAAATTCTTTTCGAGCATCATCTAACCGCTAATGATACAAAAAATAGAACAAAAAAACAAGAAATTACAAAGAACTCTTGCTGACATAAAGATGATATAAAAAATAAACAATGGCCAGATAAGGAGACCATGATAAATATAAATCTAACTAACTTTTTATAATAGTTTGCCTGTCCTACATAACTCCCCTCGCGAAGCACTTTATTGTTGAGTGAAAGTGAAAATATGCCTAAATGAGCAAACGAATCAAATGATAAATGGTACTTCCAACGAACTAGAGAACACAACAATTAAGAAGAGCCAACAATTTGCTAATCGAAAAGGATACCCATAAATGAAGCAAAGTGAAAAAATTGTCCCATAACTATTTATATGAGACCATTTTAGTCCCCGAGTATATAAAAGTGCCAAATTAGTCCCCATATTATTTTAATATGGGATGAAATAGTCCCCATTAAGGACTATTTTAATCCTCATTAAGAGATTCTAGGAACAAAATTGTCATTTTTTAAAACTTTAGGGCAAAATGATCGGACCATCAACATCAGGCCACAACTATTATATCGTACCACCATCGTCGGGTAGTCGACACCACTAGACCACTGTCAATAGACCGACATTGAGCCACCACCGTCACTTTCAGGCCACTGTTGTCGGACTTCGCTATTAGGCTGCCATCATCGGACTATCTCCATAGTGTTGGACTGTCGGTGCTGGGCCATCACATTCATCGTCGGGCTGCCACCGACATGGGACCACCTTCACCTGACTGACACTGAGCCATCATCGGAAAACCATCATTGGCAGCCGCCGCTGCCGCCAGGCTGCCATTACCAGACCATCACTATCGTCACAAGATCATCATCATTTTTCAACCACCGTCGCCCCAAGATCAGCATTGCCAGACGAATGCTATTGTACTACAACCATTATAGATGAACCATTGTTGCCTTGTAGATGCTACAGTTGCTTTTGTTGTCGCTAGACCACCATATCCCTGGCCCCCATTGTCGTCGGATCACTGTCGTCTATTAGCCAACAAACTATAGTTATGAGGTTGACGCCGCTACAACCGCCACCAATGCTCGGACACTATCGCAGTTGATGTTAGGCCACCAGTGCCCAACTGATGCCATTGCCATATTTAGGCTCCTAGCTATTGCTATCACAACAAACTGTTCGGATCATTGTTGCTGAATTTCTCAGAAACGACATCGAGTCATTTCCCCTCAATCAAGCTTCTAACTATTTTCTCCTTGGCAATATGGATAGAATTTGGGTGTGCGTGGTTGAACGACGTGTGTAAGGGTGATGTAGGGTGTGTGAGAAAAATTTTAGGTGGACATAGGTTTGGGTATGGCGGATGCTAGAAACACTAGGATAGAACTAGGGTTAGGCTAGCTTTAATATCAAATGATACCGGAGATAACCCAAACAACAATAAGAAATCAAATATTATCATTAGAAGTAAATGTGTGGTTACAATCAAATACATTTGAAAAAAAAAATACAACACAACACTCAAAAATCTAAAATAGCAAGAAACACTTAAACCGGTGGGATCTTAGGGTGGTAGTGGAGATTGACGAGGGTTCTGAAGGCATAAGGTGGAAGTGCGGAGCAAATGGGCGGATATGACAACCGACCAGCAGGTACTTGCTGTCCTGAGTGGCAACAATGTGGAATTTGGGTTTTGGAGCTTGGAACAACGGATGTGGCAGAGAAGTGGTGCAAAAGGGCTGAGACAGCGATTAGGTGGTAGGGACGTGGTTTGGGATGGCTGGAACATCAGATGGTGGGAAGGGGAGAAGATTTTTCATGGCTGAAACATCGATGTCAACAAGCATAAGCGTCGGGATCGTAGGAAACGTAAGTTGAAATGTAGAAACTGTAGAAAATAGCCAAAAAAGACAGTTCTGAGCAGCTGCATCAGGGAAGAGACGGCCACGAGCGATGAGCGAGGATGCATAAGGATAATAAGGGAACATAATCAACACCTCGGGAGAAATATATGACTGGAGCACCACTTATTCACTTGGATACAATCCTCAAAGGGAGAAACAGATGCCAGCAGCTGCCCTAACAAACCAAAAAAAAAAAAAAAAAAAACTATGAATCCAAACCATAATACACATATATAGGAAATGACTAAAAAAATAAAGGATAATAGAGAATAAATTATAAAAGAAAGGAAAATGAGGCTTGCGGCTTGTCTCCCGTGCTAGCAGGAGTACCGGCTTCCCATAATACTGTAGCTTAAGTCACAGAAGGCAGGGGGAGGGGGGCTCCCACGTCAATCTTCCGGAGTCGGGAGGGCTTTGGCCTAATCTGTCGAAGTTTTTGTTTCCACGTAGTAGTTAGATCACTCATGTTGAATGTGGTAGAGCTACTGTAACTTCCCAGTAAGTCACTCCTGTCGACATTGTCAATCCAAAACACATTTTGATAGAATAAATATCCATCTGCTTTTGACGCAACCTGAGTTGTAGCTACATATAATCATATATTCTCCCAAAGTAACTCTCCGGCCACATTTCCATAATTTGCCTCTTCCACTCATTGCACTCAACTGAATGTATCCGGTAAACAACTATGTAAGGAGGATTTAACTTTGTGATGAAAATTGTGGCAGACTGCTCCACTCTTACTAGCAACCACTCAGACGAGACCTATTCTTCTTCTCTGATAGGACCCAGATCCCATTGAAAATTTTTTCCCCACCAAGCTTCTAAAATAACTTCCAAAGCTATGGTTCATCCCTCATGTCTGGAAATGTGATGGTGGATACACAGCTAAAAAAAATCTAATACTCATATAACTCTATATAATCTTCCAGATGTGTCACAAAATGACTCTATATCTGATAAGTTGGACCTCCCTCAACAAAGACTACTCAGAAAGGAGTCTATAAATATGATAAAGTTTGAATTTCTCTTATATAGGATGGCTTTGTGTCTGATATCAACTCCTCAAACTCAATACTCTTTTGGGCATCCAAGGCCAGCCCTGCTAATGCTTCTCTTAACTCCTGCAAAACGATAGCTCGAGGCACTACAATCTCGTACTCTGCATGAACAAACATTACCTTATACTCACTACCTTCTAGAATAGTTACTTTCAACTCAGTTGTAATCTCTCTCCTGGGTTCAATTGGAATCGATGACATCTCTTCTCATCGACTAGCAGACGGTGCTTCCTCTTTCGCGTCGTCACTCTCTTATGTGTCTAAAGTGTCATTGTCAATTCCTTCAATTTCTCCCTACTAGGTGAAATATATCATCCGCTAGGTTGTGCAATCTACTTTAATATGCCCAAATCTATTGGACTTGAAACACTTTATGATTGGGACGGTTTTAGGAATACTTATTTGCTCCATATGTTCTCTACTCTGAATCAATTTCTCCTAAAGCAAAGTCGGTTCTAGCTGTAAGATCCTGAGGCTGAACCCTACCTGTCAGATGTGGTCTCTCCACATTTGAAACTGGGGTTAGAATACCAATATAAATCGATACAATCATGTACTCTGCATGAACAAACATTACCTTATACTCACTACCTTCTAGAATAGTTACTTTCAACTCAGCTATAATCTCTCTCCTGGGTTCAATTGGAATCAATGACATCTCTTCCTCATCGATTGGCAGCCGGTACTTCCTCTTTCATGTCTTCACTCTCTTATGTGCCTACTGTGTCACTGTCAATTCCTTCAATTTCTCCCTGCTTAGTGAAATATATCATTCACTAGGTTGTGCAATCTGCTTTAATATGCCCAAATCTATTAAACTTGAAACACTTTATGATTGGGACGGATTTAAGAATACTTATTTGCTCCATATGTTCTCTACTCTGAATCAATTTCTCCTAAAGCAAAATCGGTTCTAGCTGTAAGATCCTGAGGCTGAACCCTACCTGTCAGATGTGGTGGTCATCTGGTGATGTGGTTTCTCCACATTTGAAACTGGGGTCTGAATACCAATATACAGCGATACAATCTTGTACTCTCCATGAACAAACATTACATGAACAAACATTACCTTATATACCTTATACTCACTACCTTCTAGAATAGTTACTTTCAACTCAATTGTAATCTCTCTCCTGGGTTCAATTGGAATCGATGACATCTCTTCCTCATCGACTGGGAGCCGGTACTTCCTCTTTCGTGTCTTCACTCTCTTATGTGTCTACTGTGTCATTGTCAATTCCTTTAATTTCTCCCTACTCAGTGAAATATATCATCCGCTAGGTTGTGCAATCTGCTTTAATATACCCAAATCTATTGGACTTGAAACACTTATGATTGGGACGGATTTAGGAATACTTATTTACTCCATATGTTCTCTACTCTGAATCAGTTTCTCCTAAAGCAAAATCGGTTCTAGCTGTAAGATCCCGAGGCTGAACCCTACCTGTCATATGTGGTGGTCATCTGGTGATGTGGTCTCTATACATTTGAAACTGGGGTCTGAATACCAATATGTAGTGAATTG